AGGAGGAGCGGAGTGTGCGGGCTGGAGTGGCAGGGTGCAGGAGGAGCGGAGTGTGCGGGCAGGAGTGGCAGCGTGGAGGAGGAGCGGAGTGTGTGGGCAGGAGTGGCAGGGTGCAGGAGGAGCGGAGTGTGCGGGCAGGAGTGGCAGGGTGCAGGAGGAGCGGAGTGTGCGGGCAGGAGTGGCAGGGTGCAGGAGGAGCGGAGTGTGCGGGCAGGAGTGGCAGGGTGCAGGAGGAGCGGAGTGTGCGGGCAGGAGTGGCAGCGTGGAGGAGGAGCGGAGTGTGTGGGCAGGAGTGGCAGGGTGCAGGAGGAGCGGAGTGTGCGGGCAGGAGTGGCAGGGTGCAGGAGGAGCGGAGTGTGCGGGCTGGAGTGGCAGGGTGCAGGAGGAGCGGAGTGTGCGGGCTGGAGTGGCAGGGTGCAGGAGGAGCGGAGTGTGCGGGCAGGAGTGGCAGCGTGGAGGAGGAGCGGAGTGTGTGGGCAGGAGTGGCAGGGTGCAGGAGGAGCGGAGTGTGCGGGCAGGAGTGGCAGGGTGCAGGAGGAGCGGAGTGTGCGGGCAGGAGTGGCAGGGTGCAGGAGGAGCGGAGTGTGCGGGCAGGAGTGGCAGGGTGCAGGAGGAGCGGAGTGTGCGGGCAGGAGTGGCAGCGTGGAGGAGGAGCGGAGTGTGTGGGCAGGAGTGGCAGGGTGCAGGAGGAGCGGAGTGTGCGGGCAGGAGTGGCAGGGTGCAGGAGGAGCGGAGTGTGCGGGCTGGAGTGGCAGGGTGCAGGAGGAGCGGAGTGTGCGGGCTGGAGTGGCAGGGTGCAGGAGGAGCGGAGTGTGCGGGCAGGAGTGGCAGCGTGCAGGAGGAGCGGAGTGTGCGGGCAGGAGTGGCAGGGTGCAGGAGGAGCGGAGTGTGCGGGCTGGAGTGGCAGGGTGCAGGAGGTCAGATAAGTACGGAGGGGCCAGGTTGTGAAGTGCTTTGAAAGTGGTGAGGAGTATTTTGATATTAATGCGTTATTCAACAGGAATGTTTGTGAATGTTTCCTCCGGGTGCTCCGGTTTCTCCTACCACAAAAAACATAGGTCTGGCATGCGCCTCCTGTTGGTGAGTCTGCTCCCATCACTGCGTCTGGAGTAACAACAACTCCAAAGCACCAGTGAAAGACGCTATATAAATAAATATTACTTTCTGAATACACAGTGCAGTACACCGCAGACCCTTAGGTAATCAGATTATAGTGGACTACGGAAAGTTTATCATCCAATATATGTAACAATATAAACATTTCCAAACAAATGCATTAAGGACAAGGACAACTTTATAAAGGAAATATCACTCTTGTTCCACAGTTTGTTTCACTGTCATTATTCAATGTAAGTTTGGGTTTTAAACTTCTGCGTGTTGTTGTTACATGCTTTGACCATGATTGCATCACTTTTTAAACCTGTTTGTCTTTTAAAAATGACGCAACCTCAGAACCTGAAGAGTCGTACGTCAGAGCTGATAAAATGAGATTCTTGAAGACGTTTCTTTCTCTCCACTCGAGCCAGAGCCCTAATCTTTTCTGCTTTATCTGCAGCTTCAACAAATGTATGCTTATGATTAGACTTACATAACTGTTGCGATGTCGGATGATGCATTCTTGTTGCTCTGAGACGGATCACTCCTAAAGCGCTGCGATGTAATATGTATATTTTAGCAGTGTCTGTGTCCTTTTATAGGCACAGGGAGCACAGAGAGAGACGAGGACCTTCTTCTATCCATAGGAAATGCACCATTACAGAAGTATAATTGCTATCTATGTTGGATGATTGGTCAGACATTAGCAGTCATTGCTTGTAATAGTACAGTGTAAAGGGAACACATACATAGACTGTATAGAGATGGATAATGCTAACCCGCTAGCTGACGCGCGCTTAGTGTCACTTGAAACAAAAAAGAATAACTAAAATAAAATAATGAACTGTGAAACTTATGTGTCAAGTCGGAATGTCCATCCATTTAATAATAAATTTGAAGAAAAAAATATAACAGAAATTTAGAGAAAAATGACTGAACTCTTTACCAGTAAAATATAGCACTGTTAAAAAAAAACCGTGATTGTGGCTTCTTTTTAAGCCTGAAAGCAGATGACCCCCCAGAGCGCCCTCTGCTGTATTTGCTCCACCAGTTTGTATGTTTGTATTTATGTTTGGGACCCCCTTTAACTTAAACTCTCGCTCCTATTGACTTACATTGTAAAGTCAACTCCTCTCGCTCAGTAATTATTTGTGTTACACTCAGATTTTTGGGCTTTGAAAATATGTGATTTAGAGCTCTCTGTGATGTCTGGTGTTTAGATTCTGATATCGTCTCTGTAAATCTACATACAGTATGAGCCAAAAGTATTGACCAATCAAGCTGCTTGCCTTGATTGGTCCCCCTATTTCCTGCATGGACACAGGGAGAACATGCAAACTCTACACTGAAAAACCTGGAGGTGGAATCAAACGCAGGACCTCCTTGCCCAAGCTCTAATCCCTGCCCCAACGTGACAACATGTTTTTTTGCAGTGTAGTGAATACATATTTTTAAACATTGTTCACAAAAGGCTCAAGTCCTGCTCAAAACGACCCCGCGGCCCACAAGATGAGAACCACTGCTGCGGAGAAGACGTCTTACTGTTGCTGTTTATACATTCTGCTGTGGGTTCTGCTGTCCCTCGGCCAAAGCAGCAGCAGGTGGTGAATCCTACTCCTAACTAGCAGCTTGTTTGTGGTCATAATGGATTTCTCTCATAATTTATGCAGAGTGATTGGATTACGGGGACGTCTGATTGGTCTAAATGAGTCTGTAATGAGCAGGCGCTAATGGAGTTACAGGTCCACTCAGGAAGTATAGGAGGAACATTCTTCAATTAGTCCGTATGCTCAATCCCGTTGGATACTTTCTGCTACTTTCCCTTTAAACAAACACAAGTGATTTCAGATCAGCCACGATAAATACATTTGTAATCGGTCACTTTTAAAGCCACTTGGCTCTGTGCGTGCTTGTATTTCTCTGTATAAACTGCAAATGTTTGAGTCTGAGTCTGTTTTGACTTTATTTGATGAGTCGATGCTTGTGGTCAAAATAAATGTGTTTTATTATTTCAAGCGACTGTATATATTATGCTCTTAGTGGTCTAATACAGTCATTACAATTACAATAACTAAGTGTGTGATTTTTATTTATTTACCTCCTTTCGCAGACCAGAGTCACAAAGCGGTTTACAACTGTGGGCATTTGTCTCTCACTCCACACAGAGATGGGAGCGGGGTCGCCAGTACAGGAGGCACAGACCTGTTGTACATGTTTTTAGTGGTAGGAAAACTGGAGCACCTGAAGGAAATCTATGCAGACACAGGGAGAACATGCAAACTCCACTCAGAATGCCCCTGTTCCAACCAGGATTTGAACCCAGGACGTTCTTGCTGAGAAGTGAGAGTGCTATCCGCTCAGCCACCATGCCACACAATCCCACTTTTGTTCCTGCCTGTGACTCATGCCCTCCTATGCCCTGATTACTGATGCAATCCACCTGCTGGAGTTTAGGTAGAAATGGAACAAACTCTGTGTATTACATATAATTACTTATATTTCCTGGTTTAATTTAAACAAATGTTTGGTGCTGTTTATTTCTTTGGAAATTGTGTTAATGAAAAATAAAAAGAGTCAAAACCAGCTAAATTTCACCTAACAAACTGACAACCCAAAATGGGAGCCTCATTCTGCTCTCTGATTGAATGATCAACTTGAACCTCGTAACCATAAGTATGGTACACATCATGTCCAATGTAGTTTTAATGAAAATAACTCCTCTTTAAAGTTTGATTCAGAGAAGGTGAAACATGAGATATAATATTACATGCAGTCCTTTTTCTGTGAAGAAAAGTAGAAAATGATGTGTTTGAAAAGAGTAAAAAGTTTAGTGATAAAAGGTTTTGTATCAGATTGTTTTAGGATTGTTCAAATCTGTAAAAAACAGTCCGTCTTCCATTATTAATGTCCTACTCGTCCAGTTTGCAACAAGGAATTCCACACTGAAAATTGTTTATAAATGGTCTAATGTATAAATGATCTAAATGTTGTCTAAATCAGTCAAAATGGCAGATTCAAATTTACTGATGAAATACTTTTGTAGCAACTAAAACAGCTCCCCAACCTAAAACTTCATCAGATACAAGTTCTGTTCAAAGTCATACTCTGCAGTTGTTTGAAATCAAGATTCTAAGGATTTTTGTTTTGTTTTTAAGGAGTTGAAGTGAACGGCCGAGTGCAAAGTGTGATGACATCATGTGGCAACCAGGAAGTAAAATCACCAACCAAACAATGTCGAAGTTGTTGCAAAATGTGAAATATATTGTAATTGTTTCCACACACACACACACACACAGCCTTGAAACGGTCTGAAAAAAGTCAGTTAAGATTAAAGTCAAAAAGCATCTTTTATCAGTACATTCTGTTTTATTCTATTCTCGCCCACAGTAAAATATGGACACATTCTGGAATCTGCCGTTGATATGTATCGGAGCAGACTGCTTCAGAACGTCACACATCTGAAGTGATAAGAAGACTTCTTTTATTATTCCAAACTGACCCAAATAATGTTGATGCAGTGGGCGCTCAAAGCTAAAGCGGCCCTTTGATGGTCGAGTCCAAATCAGATACACAAACAGGTGCCAAAGAACGGCTCTTCGTGAGGTGCCGGTTCCAAAACGTCAGCTCAGGTTTTGTTACAGATATTTACCGCCACAATAACTATGTTTATACCAGTAAAAATTCGTCACTATCTAATACATATGAGACTTATTTATGTATGGTCAAAGCGGCTTCAAAATGTGTGTTAATTTTTTCCAATATTCAATGGTGATCTCGGTTTATTCCTGGGATCAACAGACAACAACCTCGTTAACATCAATTGTTCATTTGCAAAAACAGACAAGTGTGATGGGAAAAAATGTTGGAAATGCTTTTAGTAAGTAACACGTCCCCAAATCTCACGTTTTGTTATTGGCTTCATCTAAGAATTTAAAGTGATTGTCTGGAGTTTGTCAGAAAGAGAGAGAGGTACTTGATTTGAAAAAAACGACGCAAGCTCCTCCCCCTTCCTTTCTGATTGGTCTACACCTACGTTTCCGTAACACTTTGAAATGTTAATCAGAGAACACATTATACATATACATTATTAATACACATGCACGGAGGTTTTCAGAATTATTTGTGAACGTTTTAATGAAAAAAATAATGTTTTTATGCACAAAAAAATAATGTTTTTATGCACAAAAAAAGCGATCGCGGCAAACCAGGAAGTGCTATTATCATGAATTGCACATTATAGGACACATCTGCAGAGGATCTGATTATGGATATAGGTTCAGTATATACATAAGTACCTCAGCGTGGATATTCAGAATTCTTTGTTCAGTTTTCATGTTGTTCCAGAGCCTAATAGAGGCTTTATTCGGAGGCTCCGCGAAAACAACTGAGCATGAGCAGCTGCGAGCATCAGCGCCGATGATTGACAGCTCTTGGCATGACTCGATTGGTTAACGTGGACGGCACCGTGGATTCTGAACTATAGCTTAGAGCAGGGAAGGCGGGACTTACCCGTAATATTAGAATTAATAAAATTACTTATTTTATATCAACATTTAAGGCCAGGAGGTCAATTCAGCACATTTCCTAAAATTTGTAATTAATTTAGAGTTACAGATTATCACTTTAAGGTTAGCTCATTTCACTGTGTCATACCACTTCTACGTACAAAACAAAATAACACATGTATTCAACATTATTGTCACGGATAAACAAGGAAGGACCCAAAAGCAGAACTGCAAAAATAATATAATTTAATAAATGCCACAAAAAGTAAAAACTGAAACCGGGAACAAGACATGGGGGGAAAACAACAATGGACCGACCACAAGAGGACAGGAGCACAGGGTCTAAATACACACAGGTAGACACAGGTGTAGCACATCAGGGAGGGGCAAACAATCAACGAGACAGACAGGAAGTGAAACTCTAGAGACCCTAATGTACATGAAAAATCTGCAAAAGATCAAAGTAAATCTGTATCCTTCCAGTCAAATCAAGCACCTGATTCTACTGCACCTGAGCAGAATCAGGTGCAGTTTTTCACGAAATATAGTGACCTTTACCTAACCAGGAAAGTCCCACAGAGATTTAAGAATGGCCTTTTCAGGGGAGTCCCGGCCGCAGAGGAGAAAGTGTGTGAGTGGGTCAGGGAGGGTGTGTCGGGGGACAATTGTACATGTTTTTTAGTGGTGCACCGGAGCACCTGGAGGAAACTGGAGCACCCGGAGGAAACAAGAGGAAGCGGGAGCAGACACAGGGTGAACACGCAAACTCCACACAGAATGGCCACATTATTCTTTTTTTTTTTTAAACAACAAAACAGACAGACACCTCAACATTCAACAAGAGCACAGAAAGAACACAACATAAAAACATACACAAACACACTCAAAATGTTAAATGTCTAATTATGACTCCATGGGTGTGTTCAGCATATTTGTTGAACATCTTGATCATGACCCTTTCTTCCAGGCGACCTCTAAAGCCTAGCGTACATCGACAGAGAAACTGGGGACAACTAGTTGCAAGGCGGCTTTTGGCAACTGAGAGGAGATGATGGAGATTCAGAGATCAGTTGCTGAAATCGGTCGATGTGAGCGCTCTTACAACTGGAGATGAACAGTCGGTCTCCAGTTTCAGTCAGTTGCCTGTGTTCTACTTTTCGGCAACTAGTTGTCCTCAGTTTCGGAGATATGACCCGATGTGCGCGCTCCATGCGCCGCTCCGACAACGTGTGTGTATTGCGTGTATTGCGCCCGCAACAGTTTATGTCAGAAAACACACTGTAGTTGAGGCCAGTTGCTGTCGATGTACGCGCTGTTATTCCCGAGACTGGTCTGCTACTGGGAGTTGCCCGTTTTCGTCAGATTGTCGATGTGTGCGGGGCAGCAACTCATATGCGACGGATATAATCAGTTGCAAGTCCGATGTACGCTAGGCTTAAGGCTGAGTTTACACGGTGTCTCCGTGTAAACTCAGCCTTAAGCCTAGCATGTGGCAGTAAAACGGTATAGTTGGATGTCGGTTGCTACCAACCGTTCATACGAAGACTGTGTTTCAGGTGAAAACGTAAGTGTTCAGATCCAGCCTGCAGAGTGGGACAACTCAGAAACGCTGCACAGCGGGAGCTCTTTCACACCCGCGAGAGGGGAAAAGGTGTGAAATCCCCCTCTGCTCTGACCCCCGCCTCCGCGCTGCTCCCCGCACGTAAATTTGGACATGCGCAGTAGAGGAGAACAAACAACAACAATGGCTGCGGATAAACTAACTAACTATGTGGGCTTCCAGCGCGGGACAGAGGATAATTCTACTCCTTCGTTCATCCAAACGAGACCACGCGAAGCTCTAGGTTCAGTTTCCATTTTCACTGCTGCTGTTAAAATGCAGAATGATGTTGGTGCGTTCTGAGGGTCTGGCACAGGAAGTGAGTATACTGCCGAGAGGGGGTTGTGTGAGTGTTGTAAAGTTTATCTGCCCACTACTGGCCGGGCACTAGAACTACATCGTTTTTCAACCTCATGTGAACGCTGAGAAATTTGCATTAGGAGCCTGGTCGTTTCTGTTAATAGCCTGGAAACGTCTGCGCAGCGTCTCAGTATAAACAGGGCCTCAGTGAAACCTGCCCTCCCCCATTGCTGCCCCTTTGTTTGTATACGTTGTTTTATTATACAATTTATTCCTTTTTGTTAACTAATTTGCTCATTTATATACACAGCAAAAACTGGAGTGTTGAATCAACTCCCACAGAGTCAATTTTAACACTTTTTGCGGGTTTATATAGCTCCACACTCTACAGAGTTAAATTAACACTTTCAAAATAGTTAATTATTTAACACTGTACCTAGAGTTACTTTTTAACTCCCTAGACTGGGTTGAATTAACACTATATCGAGTTACATTAACACTATATCAGAGTTCCTTTTTAACTCCCTAAACTGTGTTGAATTAACACTATATCGAGTTACATTAACACTATATCAGTTACTTTTTAACTCCCTAAACTGTGTTAAATTAACACTATATCGAGTTACATTAACACTATATCAGAGTTCCTTTTTAACTCTCTAAACTGGGTTAAATTAACACTATCGATTTACATTATATCAAAGCTCCTTTTTAACTTCCTAAATTGGGTTAAATTGACACTACATATTTAAAAAAAAAAAAAAAACAGTACAATACAACCATTAAAATGACAATTCCAAGAAAAATGCATTTTCAAAAACACAATTTATTTTAACTTTTCCCCCAATGCAGTCAGTTAAAACATGAGGGTATAATGTACAAACTTCCCTCTGCTTACCGTTTATTTTAAGAACTTTCCCCCAATGGGAACTGACTTTAACTGACTGCAGTCAGTTAAAACATAATAAACGAGGGTATAATGTACAAACTTTCATCTGCTTTACCATATGAGCTTTGAATATCAAATGGTTTGTGACATTTGAGTTCAGTCATTTTCATGACACACCTCTCTTCAGTTGGTAAAACTTTGAAGGCATGGTGGTGTTCAACAAACATCTCTGTAAATAGCTTTTTTGTCAAAAAATAAACGTCATCTTCAACCAGAAGTACATCATCTATTTGACAAAAAACTGGCATGTCTTCCTCCATGGAACTGCAAACAACAAGTCCACCTTTGTACTCAACACCATCGACTTTAACCCAACTTGTTGAGAAAACATCTTTGGACAACAGCATTTCACACATTTCACTGTTGACCACATTTTCATCTCTTAAAGAAAATGATTTCATTGGCCCCTATTCCTTCTGTTTAAGGGTGAAGGTTTCCCAGTGATAAGCAATGGCCATTTGATGCCTTTTAGCTAGTGATTTGGTTATGTTTTTGAAATTTTTGAAGTAATCTTTAAACATCTTGTGTTTTGCTTCGTACCTCATACACCAAACGTACAACAAAGGGCCAATTTTCCTAATAGAAGAGGGGTAATGGATCATAAAGTGATGCTTGGGTATGAGGTTTCTGTGTGGATACAAGCACTTGATAAATTGTGGTGGTCAAGGATCAAATTTTTTAAATATACAGTCATGCCCAGAGTGAGAGAAGGTGAAAAGACTATGTTCATAATTTGTAACAGTAACAGTAACAAACTCCAGTGTCTGTTCTCTGCAGGAACAATGTCCCCAAACAGGAGTAGAATGTTTTTCACAAGACAGAATGTCTGGATAGAGTTCAAGCCGATGCCATTTCCAGCACTGTCCAATACGATTTTCGTGGGGCAGTTCTTTCGTTCTAGAAATCCGTAATCAAAACCATAAATCCTTGAAAGCAAGTTCTGTTGTGATATGAAGTGGTGGGTGAGATACTCAAAAAGCAATTTGATCTCATACTGAGCTACACCCTCGAGCAGATCATGCATGATATCAAACGAGTAGTTATGGCAAACATGGAAATACTGCAATGAATTTAGTGCAGAATTTCTTTTCAAACCATACAATGATTTCAGCTGAAGATTTTCCTTTAGAGACTGGCAATGCATGTCAAACATATCTTTCCCACGAAGGATCACTTTAGGATCATCCTCACTGTACACTGTCTGACAATCATCTTTATCAAGCAAACATAGGCGACAGAAATGACGGCTACTGAATGACTCGTTAAAACCAAGAATAGAATGCATTCCCAGATTATCTCCAGTGATCTGTGAGATTGTACCATGTACCTGCTCATCAGAAAATGGAAGACTTAGCCCTTGGCTTTCCAGTTGTTTCACATCATTTAGCAGTGGTTCCAGTATTGCATCAAAACCATACTTTTGCAGATCTGGCGTATGGAAAAGTGATACTAAATGAATGTTCATCAAAATAGAGTTCAATTTTGGAGGCAGGTTTCTTAAAACAAAATAAATGCAGCCAATCTTGTGGATTCCGCCTTTTGAGCCAAGCGGATTGGCCGTTACGAAATCATCATAGTATACCTGAATTTGTAATGCAAGTCTTTTGGCTGAAAACAAGGGATGAGCTTTAAAGTAACTTCCGTCACAAAAGTCATGGTAAGTATCAGGCTCTGAGCTACACTCTGTCTTTAGAAAATCACAAATCTCTGGATTTCTACACATGAACTTCAAGGTTTCGAAAATAGGAACATATATGAAAGTATCCTTCACAGGTACTTGATCATATGTACCGGATTTCTGATTGTGCCTGGTGTCATATCTTACTCCAAGTGTCATTTCTCTAGGCTCTACAACTCCCCATTTTTGGTTGAAGTATTTATTTCGTTTCCATTCTGTACTCAGATCAGTGAAGGGGTTTTCAAATTTTTCAAAACATTCATTTATGACAGGTATGTTGGGGTCAGTTGTGGGTAAAGCAGAAATAACGGCCTGCTTCGCTTCTGAGCGAAGCTCACTTGTTAATTCCTCCAAATCTCCTACAAGCGAGGATACCAAACTGTTAGAAATGCCACTACCCTGCAGTTTGGCCACGATGGATACACACATTTCTTTGGATAAGTCTCTGGTAAGTCCTGAATCACTGGTCTCTGGAACACTGGAAGAACACTGGAAGAACTTTGAGGAAGACTTGAGTGAAATTGGTCCTCCAAAGCATCTGAAACTGGGTCACAAGAAGAGCAAGCAACATCTGAAGCAATTTGCTGAACATTGCTGTGAACACTATTGAGGTGCTTTCTGAAGCCAGCATAAGTTTGGAACTGAAGTCTGCAGCTCGGCTGACAACAGAACAGTTTAAACTTAGGTCCAGGATAATACCCATGTTCACCTCTTAAATGTGAAATCAACTCTTGACTGCTGGGATAAACACTCTTGCACATAAAACATGTTAGCATTTAGCTCACAACTGCCCTGCCTTTTACTCAGATTGTGACAACTACTTCCTGGTTAAGGAGTTTGGCTCTCAAGTCACGAACTCTTGGTGACTCCTTCATTTTTCCCACATCAATGTTATAGACAGTTGTCTGCAGAAAGGTGTATAAATTCACAAGTGCACCATCATAGGAGACATTGAAGACAAAATGAGCTTTAAAAAGCTCATCAAATGCCCCAATGGAGCGGGTGGCCTGGCAGGGGAGGAGATGCTTGTCGATGGAGACGTAGAAGTTGTCGATCTTCCTCTTCTGCCGCCCAACCGCCAGGAGATATGGCTGCTGGTTCTGCTGACTCTGGAGATGCTCCTCCAAGCTGCAGCAAGACTGGGGTTGACACAAGGATATTGGACAGAGTCAGGGCAAGTCAGAGAAAATAGAGTTACAGAAGTCATTATTCAAACATCCTACAAATCAAGGTGAGATGAGAAATCATCATGAAAACTATGAATTAGTCATAACTAGAAAAAGCATTTCCAGAAGGAAATGCATGTAAATTAGTTTAAGATGTTGTTGGGAAACAAAAAAAGAAAGGAAGAAAGAGATACATTCCCTTTTCAGTCCAAATCTTAAACGAAAGGGGCGTTGTTCTGCCCTTTATATCAAACCAAGCATAAGTAAAACAAAAACAAACCTTTGTCATGGAACTGCACAAAATCAAAACATCCATCAACCTCATCCAACTTCACGTACTTCTGCTGTTGGCAATACCGAACCTGGATCAGCATTTTTCTGAGACATGCAACAACAAACAAATGTCAGTAAACACTTAACATGCAAGAAATAATTATTTAACACTCACATAAACGTTGTGTATCATGCAAGAAATTGTTTCATTATTAATTCCACTGCATGTCTAAGATTAAACACATTCAGCAGCTGCTGGGAGGCTGTTAAAACATGCCACAGCAGGCCCAGTGGAAACGCTCTCATTGATGAACGTGGCAGCGACTAGCTGTAGTGACTGCAGCACATGCTACCGTAATTAACATTTACATTTGAGGCAAAACTGATTTATTAAAACATTCCCCTCTGTTAAAAGCTGGTTTTCAGCGACCAAACAAACACAACACAGCACCAGTAAAGTTGACCCTTTTTAGTCTGACTGCCCACTACATTACCTACATTACCCATTAATCAGAGTTATTAACCACACCTGTATGATCAGAGCCTCGGACACTCTCGTCTCGGTGCAGTGGCACAGGGAGTCTGCCACACAGGCACCCAACTGCAATTGTTTAGGCTAATTATTTCACTCTAGCCGTGGCTCCTACGCAAAGTGAGGGGTTTATTGCATGAATTAACTCCTCACTTCGTGTTGGAGCCAAAGTTCATCCTGTCGGGGCTTATTTCTCCATAACAACCTCTGAACTGTTTATCCCTTACTTATTCTAGAGGGTTATGGTTAGGATTAGGGTTAAGGTTAGATTAATGGACGCAGAAATTAACAAGTGTATGGTCGGAGAAATGGGAAGCGGGAGTATTTGGCAGTCTGACTGATGCCATGCACCCGCCATGAACTTCAAGTTAGCTTGTTAACATGTGCTAACGTTAGCCCCAAACTATATTCGACAGTTAAATATGAAGCCTTGTTTATACAACCTCTCAAGCATGCGTGAGACTTGGTAAAATGCAACGGACAACATAGGAAACCGGTTTTTTATTGTTAATGTTTATTTTTTAGCAAGTGGTAACATTAGTGGTGAAGTTAACATTGCATTAAAAAAATAATCCAAACGTTCGCTGTCCAGTGCCAACCACAAAAAATGCTTAGCAAAGTTACATAAATATTCTCAGCAGATGTTTAATTCAATGTTATTGTTCCTACAAGTTTGATTTTGTAGCTTACCTCTAGTGTAAAACTCCAACTCCGCATCCATTCCTGATTCCAGCAGCGAAATAAACGACGGTTGACCATGCCACGCACAGGAGACTATTGATTGATGCACGGGTTCACCCTGCTGAAAGCCCAGGGGCATAACACACGGGTTTACCTGGACTGAAGCCCAGGGGCCTATCAAGCAAGTTAACTCGGCTGAGATGCACTTTACATCTCTACAGAGTTGATTTGCTTAGGTTGGAATAACTCTGTTAAATAACTCCAACACTGAACACCATTTTAATCAGAATGTGTTAAAATGACACTTTGAGAGTTGAAATCAACTCTTACATGTTTAACCCTGAAATTTCAACACTCCAGTTTTTGCTGTGTAGGAGTGTATTAGGTGCATTAAAACGGCCCAAAATAACACTAAGGGTGTTGATTAAATCATAACTAATAGTGTTAATTAAATCCAAAGTACAATGCTAGTGATGCATTTAAATCCAAATTAATGATGTTAATTAAATCCAACATAACATTATCAATAACCATTTAACAGCATTCATTAGAATGTAATCACGCAGAGCTGTTGCATTTAAATAACAATTGTACTTCTGATATAAGAGACCACGGAGGTTGCAGCTAACAACAAAGTTATTTCACAATTAATTGACTGAGTTTTGTGGAAAAGTTTGCCATAACTTCATCAATTAAATCCAACATATCTGTTTGGGGCGACAGTAGCTCAGTTGGTAGAGCATTGGCCTTTGGGCCTGAAGGTTGTAGGTTCAAGCCCACCATAAGACCTACTTCACGACTCCCACTGATGACTGCTAATTGTGTCCTTGGGCAAGACACTTACCCCCACTTTGCCTGAAGCTCCTACTGAAAGATCTCAGCTCCTGTGGACTCAGCACCTACAGGAGGATCAGTGAGGGGCTGGTGCTCTGTGACTGGGTGCAGCTCTGACTGCCACCCCCCTGACCCAGAAATGGATTAAGAAGATGGCTGTTTGTTTTATCAGGCGTGTCAGGCCTTATGGGTTAATTCACTTGGATTGAGTGGATTATCTGATCTGAGCTGATCTGAACTTTAGCACTAAAAAGAAGCAAGTATAAAATCTTGATTAAAAAGCGCGCAACAAGTACCAAATACCATCTCCTGGTACTCATCTGAGTACCTCACTGAAAAAGTTATGTGCACCCCTGGTTGTAACCCAACAGTTGGTCATTCTACAGTCTATAAGAGCCAATCCCCAGACACCACTACACCCTCCTTTATATTCACCCAAGAAAATACATTCAGAATTTACTCCCACAAAACTGCACAGCCTCAGCTTCACAAAGGGGAGTTAAGAAGTGGCTATTGTGTGTATTTATATATTTTTTATGCATGACTTTAAATATAATCTTTAAATTTCTTTTACTTTTATCTCTTGTTTTCACCATGAGATAAAGATAATTCCTAGTTCCTCTTAGCTACAATGGAAATAAGTTTGGTCACCAGACCATGGAAAATAAACAGTGTACTCCAATGGGCCTTGAACATGCAAACTCCACTCAGAAAGGCCCTGTTCCGACCGAGACTCAAGTGGTATCCATGTATTGTTGTTGCTGTGCATTTCGCAAGGGCATAAAGTAATGTAATGTAGAGGCTGTCAAGGAATCACTGAAAAAACCTGGGAATGTCAAAGAAAATAAAAATAAAAACATAAAATATTCCCAATCAAGATGTCATCGTATTATCACTGCTGTTACGTACCGACCAGTTGCTATTTTTCTATTCACATTTCTGAACTGATAAAGACATTTTTCTGCGGTATTTCCACTCAGGTCGTGACTATTCTACCAACACAGCTGCAAACAGTTACAGTGCACTTGTAATCTGTCTCGCTGACATCACGCTGATCCTCGAGATTTATCAGGATTTATCATAGTTGACCTCAGAGACCACTATAAAAATGATCTTTAATCCTCCACTTAAAGAAAAAAGCTTTTAGCGACACTATACCGACACAAAGAAAGCATTGACATTTTGCTGGCGCTTTTTTCCTGCTCTTGTTGATTTGCAAAAGCCGGTGACTCCATCGCCGACATGATCTTTTATTTTGCATGGATAAACACTAATCCTCGTGTATTTTCCACTCTGCTGCAGAACACAGAAGCCGCGCAGACGGGATATGCTGGATTAAGGCTTGTTTGGGACCAGAGGCTGATGTCGCACGCACAAATCACTTCCATTCAACTTTCAACCTTTTTCCAGGCCTCGTTTTAACCCAGGCGTTCTGAACCGCAGGCGGGAACAAAGGGTAAAACTATTTCCTCAGAATCCAAATCCAAAATTCAAATCCACTTTATCAATAAAAGTACATTTTCATTTAATAAAGAAAAGAGTTTCCAAAGTGCTGCACAGAAGTAGGTGGTAAAGAAAATAATTCAAAAATGGAATATAAGCCCAAAGTGACTTCACTGGCTTAAATAATAAAAACAATAAAACCCTAACCCTAAAATCAAATAAGAGCAGAGAAATTAAATACATAAAATAGTTTAAAATACAAAATGAATTGAAATTGTATTAAAATTAAAATATATAAAACGCAGAGGCAACTAACAAACAACTTAAAATCCAGAGAGTAAAATCACATCATATAGTATTGCAATTTTCCCTTAGCACTTCCGCCTCTCAGCAAGAAGGTCCTGGGTTTGAATCCCAGTCAGAATGGGGTCTTTCTGAGTGGAGTTTGCATGTTCTCCCCGTGCTTGCGTAGGTTTCCCCTACCACTAAAAACATGCACATTAGGAAAAATCCTCCAGCTCCAATAGTCCTGACCAAGCCGAGCATCAGCATCTGGAGATGGGTTCCCGGGCGTTGTTACTATGGCGACCTCTGCTCCTGACGAAAGCCTTCGCGGCATCAGGATGGGTCAAATGCAGAGGATGAATTGCCCTATGTGGATCAATAAAGTGCACCTTTGGCCTGATTGTGTTGCGAAAACAGTGAAATACATACAGTAATTGCTGAACTACAGGTAAAGAAGTATTAGCTAGTTTAGTTTCACCGCTTCACTGTTTTCAAAAATAATGACTGTATTTATTAAAGCTGGGGCACCTAACATTCAAACCACTAACAATGTATTGCTTACAGGTTAAGCGCAGATGGACTGGACATCTGCGCACCAGCAACATTTAAAAAGATAGTAAATGTTGTCCACATAGGCCGCACTTGAAAATAAACTGCAGGTTTTCAAGTTTTAATGTGGTACTTAGATGTTTTAACTGGTCACAAGACTATTTTGACAATAAAACTATTTTGACAATAAAACTTAAAACTTAAGTTTTATTTTGACAATAAAACTTAAAAGTTTTAAGTTTTAAAACTTTTAAGTTTTAAAACTTAAAAGTTAAGTTAAAACTTAACTTTGCTCTGACCACAGCCCAACTCTATCACTATAAAAATACACATATTAGCCGCATTGTTATATAAGCCGCAGGATTCAAAACACTATAAAACAAGTAGCAGTTTAGTGTCCGGGGATTAGCGTATACATTTGTTGCTACTAGAGTGTATTACAGGCCTATACTTTGGTCCCTAAAGTCAAATTTTATTAATATTGTTTGCTGGACCCCAAAGCAGAGGCCTGGTTGGAATCATCATCAAAAAATAAACAAAATAAATTGAAAAGCAAGCAGGCAGTGGAGACAGATGGAAATACGAACCAAGACACAGGACACAAAAAACTGTATAGGCAAAAATACAAAAAGGCAAGCAGAACAAAATAAAACTCATGAGCTGACTCACTACCCAAATTTGTGACTCTATTATCTATTCTGGCAGAGAAGTTGAGTCTGAACCAGAGTTTAAAGGACGGGACGATGAGAGAATACAAAACAGGTGTGAACAACTCAGAAAGAAATTGGGGAGGCAGAGCAAAAACCCGACGCATTTAAGAAGTGTATCCAGCTCCTAATATCTCTGTATATTGTGTGTGTTAGTTGTGCCCTATGCGCAAAATGCAACACTGAAATTTCCCCTCGAATGAAGGTTTTATCTTATCATATTTTCTCGTATGACAGGGGGAGGTGCCTCTCTCCCCTCTGCCTCTCTCAGACTTAACAGAACACAATACAATACAATACAATACAATTTATTCTTGTATAGCCCTAGGTCACAACAGAAGTCATCTCAAACACTGAAGCAGATGAAGGCCCATGCGTCCTGTGTGTGCATCTTCATATATCTTCATCTGCAGCAGGTTTAAAGCTCGGTGCCGTGTCATGAATATTTATGCAGTGGGAGGAACGGCACCAGGACAGATTCACTTTGGCTCCGACTCAAGTTTATACTTCACCCGATAATACTGTATATCCGTGTGCGTTTGAACCTCTGAACAGGATTACTCTTTTCATTATGCGATTCAGAAGGAGTTTTATAGACAATATGTCAGCAGTATATTTTTGTCACAACTGGGCCAGAAGTCTCAAAGGTGGAGTACGTGAATCTTGAATAAACAGATAATATATCCTGTTTGTCGCAACAGAGAGAGTTTTATAAAAAAGTAAAAAGTTCAACCTGGTTTTGTCATTCAATTAAACCCTGAAATAGCAGTCGTCTGTGAGGACTTTACAAAGACAGCTGATTCTTCTTGAATACTATCTAAAAAAAAGAGCCTTGTGAGTCACAATTTGATGCTTTGTGGTGGTGGCTGGTGGTGTGGAGGGGCAGTGGACCCATGTCATAGTGGCGTTCTGTGGACACGCAGTCAGGAATGACCTCACTGTCTAGAATCCATTTGGACATACAAAAGATTATGAATTGAAAATAAAATATGAAAAAATAAATGTGTAAAAGAACAAAAATTAAAGAAAGTATCTTCTGCCTGAAGGTGGAGCTAGGACAGTCACGGTGGTGATAATCGGCTCTATCCAAGGTAAAGAAACTGTAGAATTAATCAAATGCCTTTTCATTTGAAAGAATAAAACAATGGTATGAATGATCAGTGAGGTGGTTGCTCATGGTGTAGTTGGAGCCTGCTGTGCGTTGGACTATTGTTCCTCTGCA